GCGAAGGTTGGAGACTGGACGATAATTTGTCAACACTGCCGGGTCCAGGGAAGGTTTCTTGAGGAGAGGCCTCACCACCGCCTCTTTCAAGGCAGCAGGGAAGACACCCTCACTCAAGGAAGCATTTATAATCCCCTGGAGCCGGCCTCGTGTAACCTCCCGAGAGGCCAGCACCAACCAGGAGGGACACGGGTCCAGTAAACATGTGGCTGCGCTCAGTCTGCCCAGTATCCTGTCCACGTCTTCGGGCGTCACAGAATCAAACTCTTCCCAGATAATACTCACAAGACCTGCCTCTATCCTCCCCGCTGAATCTACCCAGTCAGAGTCCAGATGTTCCCGAATCTGAGCGATTTTGTCATAAAGATACTGTACAAAATCCTCGGCTCTACCCTCCATGGGGTCCTCCTGCGCTTCCTGGTGGAGCAGGGAGCGGGTCACCCTAAACAGGGCGGCCGGGCGATTATCTGATGACGCAATAAGAGTGGCAAAATAGTTATACTTCGCCACTTTTATCGCCACCAGGTAGGTCTTAATATGAGACCTTACCAGTGTTCGGTCAGATTCAGAATGGCTGGCCCTCCAACCACTCTCCAGGCGTCTTTTCCGGCGCTTCATCTCCCTTAGCTCCTCGGTGAACCAAGGAGCCAGGCGAGATCGACGCCGGGTCAGAGGCCGCAAAGGCACGACCCGATCCAAAGCTCCAGCAGCCGCCCTATCCCAGGCGGCCACCAGCTCCTCAGTCGAGCCGTGTGCCAGAGCCTCAGGAAATGGCCCAAGCTCCGTCTGGAACCTATCAGGATCCATCAGGTGCCTGGGGCGGTACCACCTCAATGGTTCCGCCTCCCTGCGGCGGGGTGCGGCGGTTCGAAGGTCAAAGCGAAGGAGGGAATGATCTGACCATGACAAGGGCTCGATCACTATATCCCCTATCTCAAGATCACTCAACCACTGACCAGAGACAAAAACCAGGTCTAGCATGTTTCCCCCCGTGTGAGTAGGGCCATGAACTAACTGGGTCAGGTCCATAGCCGTCATGGAAGCCATGAACTCCCGAGCCACCTCAGACGCCTCACGGACGGATGGCAGGTTAAAATCCCCCATGACCATAAGCCTGGGGGTGTCAACCGCCACCGCGGCTATAACGTTGAGCAGCTCGGGCAGGGCTGCCGTCACGTGGCAGGGAGCCAGGTACGTAACCAGCACACCCATCTGCACCCCATGACCCCACTTCACAAGGAGGGACTCACAACCAGCCGTCTGAGGAACAGTGGCCTCCCTCGGACCAAGACCTTCTCTAATGACAACCGCCACCCCCCCCGCCCCTCCCCTGTGTCCTCGGCTGATGGAATGCGCGGAAACCGGGTGGGCACATCTCAACGAGGGGGACCCCCCCTCCTGGCCCAACCAGGTCTCCGTAATACCTGCCAGGTCCGCTCCCCCCTCCTGAACAAGATCGCAAATGAGGGGGGCTTTATTTACCACGGACCGGGCGTTGCACAGCATCAGCCGAAGGCCCAGGACCTGAGGGTCTGTGCAACCTGGGGAACGAGGGGAGCATTGGAGGCCGGAGCGCGCCACTGCTTGGAGCCAGCGGGCGCGCGCTCCCACAACCTGATGTGGCCCCCTGCTCCCGCCATATCTGCCCCTCCCACCCACAGTACTGATGTAATGACCATCCATAACACAAGCTCTAACCCCCTCCTTGACCCCGGTTCCCGCATCTCTAGTGCCGTGCTCTTCAGCCGGCTCTGGCCTCCTCCCCGATAGGTTCTCCCCCAAACCCACCGAACCCACCCCCCTCCCAGAAACCTTTAAAACCTTATCTAAAAATTTCCCCAAAAAACCCCACAACCCCCTCCTCACCGCATGCCACCTCTCGGGATTCCAAAATCCGTCATCAAGGTAGGCCCTCGATAGTGAGGAGGGCCAAACCTGCGAGAGGGGGGAGTCTCGCAGCGCAAGCAGGTCAGCAGCCGTAAACATCGCACAAAACAGAGATGGAGATTCAACTGGTCAGGGCTTCACCAGATCGTCCAATAATACTGGGTCAAAGTAGATCTTCATATCAGGAGCTGGTTCACTGCCCTCTCACGACAGTGAAAGGGGCCAGTGACATCCCCCCACGTCTGGAGGATAATTATCCCAGTCACCCTCTTACAGTGACTGGGGCAGATGACACCAACAATAAAGTCACAATAGTCCATCCTTTCATCTGGCGGATGACAAACAGCCCCCTCAGCACCTGCACACCATTTTGCCCAGTTCTCCTCCAGTTCGGGGTCGCACAAGAAGCCAGCAATTTGTAAAGTTATTAAAGACAATGATGATAATCCCACAGGCACAAGTTCTTCCCTGGGGCGAAAGTAGGGATAGCAGACAAAAAACCCAGTCCAAGTCCAAGGGTGGGTGGCCATCAAAGGCCAACACCCACACATACCTGGGGAAAGAAAAAGCGGGGGGAGGAGAAGCCACCCGAGGTGACTGATAGAGCCCTGGTCAGCCTCCCGCCTCTCCTGTCCCAAGACTCCCCCAAATCCCCAGTCTCAGCTCTGATGACAAACCCCGGATAACAGGGGTCAAGGCTCAAAAAAGAGCAGATGGTAATCCTGAGGGCAAGGCAAGGCTGTCTGTATTCCCCCATCCACCTGCTGCAAGTTCTTTCCTCAGCTGGATGATCTGTGGCTGCCATTGCCTTCTGCCACCGCCACCGCCGCGGCCGGCTCGCAACCGGCACCCTGGGCTCCCCTTGGCACCCCCAGGACCCCCGAAAAGCATCAGGAGAGAGTCCCAGAGATCCGTGAGGGGCGAGGGGATGAAGGGCACCTCCAAGCCGCCGCCGCATAGCAACGCCGAACGCCGCCGAACGCTCCGGCTTCCACTTCTCCCGGCGCTGACAAGCTGGAAACAGCTGTTTTTAACAGGCCGCCGCCCCATCTCCCGCGGCGTCTTCAAACAGCGTGTCCCGCCCTGCCCTGATATTCCGGAGGGCGAAAAAGCCCTCAGCAGGCAGGGCGGGCATTCCCCTCATTGGGACTGGAGCCGGAGATAGTTAAAGCGGCTCCTGAAGACCCCTGACACCAGCGACCTCTCCATCTCCTCCGCGGAGCTCAGCCGACTGCCGCCATCTTGGGACACGCCGGAACCGGAAGTTTGATCAAAAGCTTTTTTAGATTATTATACCAAATTATATGCTAAAGATGATATAAAGACTGGACTTATAGATAAATATTTAGAAGAAAAAAGAGTTATAAAAATTTCTAGTGAACAAAAGGAAAGAATGAGTCAACCAATTATAGCTGAGGAGATTATTGCCGCAATTAAACAATTGAAAACAGCTAAAGCACCAGGGACGGATGGTTTAACTGCGGTGTACTATAAAACTTTACAAACAGAAATGATTGAACATCTTAAAGACTTATTTTGTAGTATACAACAAGGGGGTAAAGTACCTCCTTCATGGAAAGCAGCTTATATTTCACTGATACCGAAAGAGCAAGCAGATCTTAAAAAACCTGAGAATTATAGACCAATATCTCTTCTGAACAATGATTATAAAATTTTCGCAAAAGTATTAGCCAACAGGTTAATGCCAGTTATTCAAGAGGTGATTCATCACGACCAAGCAGGATTTATAGAAGGCAGATACATGAAGGATAATGTAAGGCAAATAATAAACTTATTGGACTATCTTGAGAAGAATAAACAAATATCTGCAGTGCTGGTGTTTCTGGATGCGGAGAAGGCCTTTGATAGAGTGGATTGGAACTTTCTATTAAAGACTTTGAGAAAAATGGACTTTCGGGATCAGTTTATACAGGCGGTCTCAGCAATTTATCAACAACAAACGGCTCAAATTATTATTAATGGAAGTCTGACTACAAATTTTAGTATTGAAAAAGGAACAAGACAAGGTTGTCCGCTATCCCCATTGTTATTTATTCTAACATTAGAAGTCTTGTTGAATACAATATGGGATTCAAATTCATTACATGGCATAGCTATTAGGCATGAGGATTATAGGACCAGGGCATTTGCAGATGATCTGGTTGTTACCCTAACACAGCCGATGGAATCAATAATTCAGATGAAAGACATTATAAAAGAATATGGTATGATATCAGGATTTAGACTGAACCAGAAAAAGACTAAGATGATTGTTAAAAATATGACACAAGATCGTAAACAGGAACTTGAAAGAAAGGCAGGCTTTGAAATAGTATCAAAAGTTAAATATTTAGGAATTCAAGTTGCAGATCTAAATATAAAATTATTTCAAAATAATTATGAGGTGTTGTGGCGAGAGGTACAAAAGGATATGGAGACGTGGAAAAAACTGCAGCTGTCGTTGCTTGGAAGAATAGCAGCAGTTAAGATGAACGTTTTGCCAAGATTTCTTTTTTTGTTTCAAATGATTCCGGTGCTTAAAAGTGATAAGAGAATGGCAAAATGGACTGAATAAGTTTGTCTGGAATGAGAAAAAGCCGAGAGTCAAACTGAAAATTATGCAAGATGTTCCAGAAAGGGGAGGCCTTAAACTTTCAAACCTACAATTGTATTATAAAGCAGCAGCTTTGACGCAAGCAAGTGACTGGTTTGGAAGGATAAAGACTGGAATATTGAATATAGAAAGTCATGATCTTGAATTTGGTTGGCATGCATATTTATTCTATGAGAACAAAGTGGATAAAGTATTCAAAAGCCACATACTTAGGAACTCTTTGATGAGAGTTTGGAAGAAGCACCGATACAAATGGGATTACAAAATACCGTTAGGGCTGGATCTTGGTCATATCATATGGAATACAAATATAATGTCACTCGGGGGGGGGTGTTTATACAAAGAAGTTCTTTTTATGGATGGGGGCAGATGGCAATTAAAAAAGTGACTGAACATTTGACTAAATCAACCCTTTCTGTTTTGAGTTAATATTGAGTTAATACCAAACTTGAGATTTTTAAACAATAAGAATTTATTTATTTGTACTTTTCTGTTGCAGTCAATTGAGAATTTGCCAACAGTTTTTGGAAGCAATCCAAAAGCCCACATTGCAGCGAAGACTGTGTTCCACCTGGCTCATCGACATGGTGATATTTTACGAGAGGGCTGGAAAAACATAATGGAGGCAATGTTGCAACTTTTCAGAGCAGAATTATTGCCAAAAACCATGGTGGAGGTAAAACAAATGACAGTAGATGTTAGGAGAATAGGGTGAGAGGACAAGGATTTGCCATGCTTGGGCTTTGTTGAATAATCAATGTGCTAAAAAAAAACCCTACATTTTAAAAAATATTTTTGTTTTGCAGAATATTAAATACTATGTTTAAAAAGCCTATAAATTGGGATTTTATAAAATATAATGATATAAAGTTTTGTGTTTGAGAGTGGGCACACATGCAGGTGAGTGCTACAGTCAGGCCCAAGTTCAGGTGGGTGCACAGATGGGTGGGTATGAGAGTGGGTTATGGTGCACAGGCAGGCAGGTAGGTACAAGTGATGATGTGAGGGTGCTGTGGAATATGAGATCCCCATGCTACTCTGGGTCTAGACCACTAAATCTATTTAGAAATTGTTAGCCTGTCATCTATAAACTATATTAATAAGAAAATAACTAACAGAAAAAACCAATAATAATAAACATACTGTATAAAAGTATAAAAATAATACAATTTGTGAACAATAGTCAGAGAAAGACAATATTGAAATTCAAAATCCTCTATTAATAAACTAATATTGTAATCAACTCATAGAAAATTTACCATAGCTTCAATCCCAAATCACCCCAAATATTAGCTCTAATTGGTCCCAGATCAATTTGTTTGTTTATACCATTTCTTATCAATTGCTGGTTGATTGAATAAATAAATTCAGTCTCCAAAGCCCATCTATCTTCCCCTCAAAAACAGATAGATAAGATCATTCCTGAATTAGATGTATTAAGTCCTTTTCCCATTTTCCTTCAAACCCCTTAAAAAAGGCTATTTGCCACTTGTCCAAACAGAGAGTTCTTTGCTTTTATATGCACAGTGTTAAGCTTCCGGAAAGTATATATGGAGTTGACTCTATTATTTCTAAGTCTATATGTCTTCCTGGCCAATTTACAGCTAGGAAATCATATTTCTTCTCAATGTTTTGAGTTTTGTGTGTTGTTTCTGGGTCTGAATTTCTTCCCAATGAATTTGTTACTTTGAAACAGGTTCTTTTTGTGGTCTAAAGTATTTAGTGTCTGGTTTTTCAAAATGTGTTCCACAATCTTTATAAATTCACCAAATTTATAAACTTTTTAGGAAAAAAATCAAGCTAAAGATTGCATGTTGCTAGCCAGACTCTTTTTTTCTCCATTGAGTGCAAGCCTCCTTCTCCTCTCTGTAATCTGATATGTTGTGGTTCAAAGCAAAGAAGGCAGAGAAGATATTTTCTGATTGTTTTGATCCCAAAAAGTTTTTGCAGATTAATAAAATACAAATCAGAGTCATGTGCTGTGTTTCTATATAGAAAGCAGAAATTTATAAGAGCTGTCAAATAAAGAAAGAAAGCAGAAAAGGAAGCAGAAAGAATCCAGCAGGGGTTGAAATAAATTGACATTTAGCCAGCCAGTTAACTTTTAAAAGATAAGAACAAAAACAAAAATTCAAAAAGTGAATTTAAAAGCCTCAGGCATGCTTACAAAAACATTCTGTTGGTAGGAAGAGATGTCAACACCCATTGATTTTTCGGCTGTTCCCACAAGGAGTTGCAGTCTTCAAGATTCCCTTCCTGGGTGGGTTCACAGCTATCTATAAGTCCTAAGTGCCCACATTCAAATCCAGAGGGACAAGACTGCCAAAGAACCAGCTCTGGCAGTAAACATAGCAGATTGTGAGTAAGAGAAAGAAAGCCCTTACTCCTCAGCAGCCATCTTGGGGACCTTTCCTGTATTCTTGATTTGATGATAATGTAGAGCAGGGGTGTCAAACTCTATTTCATTGAGGGCTGCATCAGGGCTGTGTTTGACCTTGGAAGGCTAGGGGGTGAGGTTGGGGGTGGCTGGGGGTGGGCGTGGTCGTGGTCGGGATGGGCATGGCCATGGTGGGTGTTTGACACAGGCTCAAGATGCATTTTTTTCCCTTTGCATTCAAAATGGCTATTCCAGACAAAGGAAGATTTACTTTCTGGCACAATTCATTTTCATTTCATTTTTATTTTATTAGATTTATATACCGCCCTATTCCCGAAGGACTCGGGGTGAACAGCCAGAAAGATAAAACACACAAACTACAAAATTTAAAAGATAATATAAAAACCCATTAAATAATTTGGCCCAAAACAATTTAAAACACCCCTAATGTTTTAAAACCAATTTTAAAAGTTACAATTAAAAGGGAAGTTAGGCCAGGCCAGCCTGTTGAAATAAATAGGTCTTGAGGGCACGGCGGAAGGTGCGTAAATCCGGGATCCTCCGTATCTCCGGGGGGAGCTCATTCCAGATAGCAGGTGCCCCCACAGAGAAGGCTCTCCCCCTGGGGGCTGCCAGTCGACACTGTTTGGCCGACGGCACCCTGAGGACCCCCTCTCTATGTGCGCATACTGGCCAGTGAGAGGCTACTGGTGGCAGAAGACAAATAGTCTCAATTCCATAATGTAGAGATTAAAGACATGTAGAGTCCCCAGCTGCTATGCGGCTTGACTCTTTGGTATAGGAGCAGAGCATAAACGAACTGACAATTTCTCCAGATGTCTCTAAAAACTGTCAAACAGTCTATTAATCTGACACAGCCCTAGAAGAGGACTTAATATTAGTAATAATTTACAAAATTTATATACCACCCAATTCTCAATGATCCTGTAAAAAAATTTACAATTAAATCAATCACAGGTAAAAGATTAAGATAAAAGAGGACAAACTCAGTGATATGAGGGCTCTTACTCTCTCTCCTCAAAGATCTAGGTGAAGAGCCAGATGTTTTTGACTCTTCTGAACAACAGCCATTCAGATCTTGGAGGGTACCTAGTTCTAGTTGGCAGATGTTGCTAAAGAGAAGGTGAAGAAGGTGCTGCCTCCTGCAACACTCTGCTGGCCAAAATGGGCTGCGGGATGCCTCTGCTCCTGCAGCACTCTGCCGCCTGCCTGCAGGGCCGGCCTGGAAATGTCAAAGGACAAGCTTGCAGTGCTTCTACCAGCCAAAACGGGGCATGGGGGGGCCATGTGCGCCCCCTGTGGCTCATTTTCAGCCTCCATGGCCTCCATGGCCTCCTGCAGCACTCTGCCAGCTTCAAAAGCTTTTGCGCATGCGCAGATTGTCATTTATAATATCCTGGCGGGTGGGCGGAGCTTCCTGCCGATTTTACTACTGGTTCTATAGAACCAGAAAGAACCGGGAGCAACCTACCACTGGACCCACCTGTGCCAACCCACCTGCGCCAAGTTGTCCCATTCTGCTTCAAATTAGCAGTAGTGTTAGTAAGAAATAAGGGAAATTGTGCTCTTTAGGATATCAACAGAACCCCAAGACTGGCTTAATTATTGCTATATACTTTTATCTTTCACTGCCTATTATTTTAATGGCCTTTTCCAAAATCATTTTAAGGCTTGTTTCTATGTTTAAAATATTTATGATGTGTGTGTATATATGCACGTAGATGTATATGCACTAGTAATACAGTGAAAAGCAGTATTGAAATAGTTTAATAAAATACATTTTAAAGTACTAATTTATTAATTTGATCCATAGGTTGAAGATTTTGTAGATCCCAATGGCAAGATCTCTCTTCAGCGAGAGGAAACACCTTCTAATCGGTGGGTAACCCAGATTGACAGAAAAGCCTAAAATCTTTCTTTATCTTGATCTTTTATTAGATTTATATACCGCCCTACTCCCGAAGGACTCAGGGCGGTGAACAGGCACAAAATAAAATACATAAATACAAAAGTTAAAAGATATTAAAACCAGATTAAATAATTTAGCCCAAGACAATTAAAAAATCCCAATAATTTAAAACAAATTAAAATTTCGATGTAAAAGAATTTTAAAACAGGGGAGAAAATTAGGCCAGTCCGACTTGCTGGAATAGAAGAATCTTAAGAGCACGGCGGAAAGTGCGTAGATCCGGGATCCTCCGTATCTCTGGGGGGAGCTCGTTCCAGATAGTGGGTGCCCCCACAGAGAAGGCCCTCCCTCTAGGGGCCGCCAGTCGACATTGTTTAGCTGATGGCACCCGGAGGAGCCCCTTTCTATGAGAGCGTACCGGCCGGTGGGAGGCTGCTTGTGGTAGTAGGCGGTCCCGTAAATAACCAGGTCCTAAGCCATGGAGCGCTCTAAAGGTGGTAACCAGAACCTTGAAGCGCACCCGGAAGACCACCAGGAGCCAGTGCAGCTCGCGCAGGAGAGGTGTCACACGGGAGCGCCATGTTGCTCCCATAACCACCCGCGCGGCCGCACTCTGCACCAGTTGGAGCCTCCGGGTGCTCCTCAAGGGGAGCCCCATGTAGAGAGCGTTGCAGTAGTCCAGGCGGGAAGTGATGAGGGCATGAGTGACTCTGTATAGGGAGTCCCGATCCAGAAAGGGACGCAACTGGTGAATCAGGCGAACCTGATGAAAAATCCTCCCGGTCACGGCCGTCAACTGCTCTTCTAAAGACAGCCGTGAATCCAGGAGGACACCCAAGTTGCGAGCCCTCTCCGTGGGGGCCAGCGATTCGCCCCCAATAGTCAGCGATGGCGTCAACTGACTATATCGGGACATCGGAAACCACAGCCACTCAGTCTTGGATGGGTTGAGCCTGAGCCTGTTCCTCCCCATCCAGATCCACACGGCCTCCAGACACCGGGACATCACTTCAAGGGCATCATTGGGGTGGTCCGGGGTGGAGATGTACAGCTGGGTGTCATCAGCATACTGATGACTACTAAAATACCCAAAAAAGTCCGTATTCCGATGCACCATACAGCCAACCACCACGCAAAAATTAACCACAATCCCAAATCCTTAATCTTTACCCACACCAACACCAAAAAGCACCAGTTCGATTGGAGCAACACAAAAATCATTGACCAAGCTACCACCCACCATGCTCGTGAGTTCATTGAAGCCTGGCACTCCAGAAGCAATTCCATCAACAGACACATTGACCTACAACAGCTTACGAACCCCTCAGAATCCAAATCAATCGCACAGCTAACCAAAGACAGCACCAACCCTCAATCAACCCACGCAAGTCCCTCCAATCAGCATTTCATCTCCCAATGACCCTCACCTGATGTAACCTCCCCATCACAAGACTCTCACTGATGACTCACACCTCACCCATCACAATACCCTCACTTGACATATCCACACCTGAAGCCCTTATAAACAGAAGAACTCTGACATTGACATCCCCTAAACTCCACTGAAGATGTTATTTAGCTTTGTAATGAAATGTTCAGAAACCAACCTACAAGCTTGGAGAATGAACCTTCACCCTTATATTTGAGATTCCCCATACCTCAATTAATTTGATAGTATTTGTTTATTCATCTGCAATCCTTGGATTTCTAAATAAAGTTGCTGATTCATCTCTCTTTAAAATAAATTGGAGCATTTTGGCTGGTTTAGTTTTGGAACTAATATTGAATCCCAAACTGATATTGAGTTCTATTTGCAAGTTTCTCCTCCCTCCTCTATAAGCATGTTTTTCTTTTTTCTTTTGTAGTGGGGAGTCTACAGTGCTCATTTTTGTTAATTGGCTGACACTCAGTGGCACAGAACAATCTGGTATGAGAGGACCATCCACAGAGAATCAGGAAGCAAAGAGAATGGCCCTGGAATGTATAAAGGTAATTTGGGTTCAGGTAAAAGATAATGGCACATAGAATAGAACAGTGATGGCTAATCTTTTCTGGACCAAGTGTGTATGTGTGAATGCGCGCATGCGCTCCTGAACCCCCAAAATGCAATGTGCGCTCAGCCCCACGCACCCTGCCCCATCCACGAGTGCATGCCCCCCTGCACACACGCCTCGCATGCCCCCCACCCCTGCATATGCGTGGCAGAAACCCAAAGACCAGCTGGCCGGCAGGAGGCGTGCGTGCATGCGCAGTGGAGCTGAATGGGTGACGGCTCATGTGCCCACAGAGAGGGCACTGCATTCCTCCTCTGGCACGTGTGCCATAGGTTCGCCATCACAGGAGTAGAATATCAAATCTTTCATCCATTGAGTAATTGAGACCATAAATTTATCTTTCCATTGTTGAAGGACGGATTTCTTAGCATTGAAAAGAGAGTGATGAATCTGATTCTGTAGTTCAATTGTCAATGTCCATGTTCAAAAGAATATTTACATCTGAAAATATGAAACCGTGTCTCAAAGTCAAATTATTATATGTAGTTATAATATGATTGTTTTAAAATATTGGAAGTAGATATTGAATTGTAATTGTATCTCCCAGAGCTCCACTCTGAGGGAGAAAGGTGATCAAGAAAATGAAATATAAATGAATAAATAAAGAACACATGATTTTACTCATTCCCATTTTAGGCAGACCCGGGAGAGTCCAGAAAGTTTGAAATACTGTTGACAGACTACGTTATAAGTCATTTTGAAATCTTTCATACAGACATACTTAAACAAAATGCAGATCCTTTTGTTTCATTCACTTCTTAAGTTTTGAATATCAAACTGATTTATCAATATCAAGCACTTTAAAAGTATGGGATTTTTATTCACGTAAGAAAATGCCACTAGTCCAAATTGGTGATAGATGCTGTAGTTAAAATAAATATAAATTCTGTGTGTGTGTGTGTGTGTGTGTGTATCACACACCATTACGATATATAGTATGCATATAACATACATACATACATACATATATATTTATATAGATAGATAGATAGATAGATAGATAGATGATAAGATATATATAGATAGATAGATATATATATATATATATATATATATATATATAGATATATATTATATATATAGATATACATATATATACATATATATACATATACATATATAATACATATACATATACATATACATATACATATACATATATATATATATATATATATATATATATATATATATATATATATATATATATGTTTTCTGAGGTTTTCGCGGGCGTTTGTATGTAGGTCTTTGGTTATTCGGGTTTTCTCCCACGTAAAATAAGTGTCTTGGCGACGTTTTGACGAAGTCTCATTCGTCATCTCCAGGCTGGTGTTTTCGGCTTCGTGCTTCTAGGAGTAATGTGTGATCGCAGCTGTTTCTTCCTTTTAACTGCCAGTGGGGGTGGGAGCTGATTGGGTGGGAGCTTGGCTGTGTTCTGATTGGGTGGAGGTGTGTTCTGATTGGTTGGTGATTTGGCTGTGCTCTGATTGGATGGGGGGTTGGCTGTGCTCTGATTGGCTTGGGGTGTGTTCTGTTTAGGTGGGGGTTTTTAGGTCACCTCAACAGCCTACACCCCAAAATACAGTTCACCATGGAAACAGAAGCGAACAACCAACTTCCCTTCCTGGATGTCTTAGTCTACAAGAAATCCAATGGCTACCTAGGACACACCATCTACCAGAAGAAAACACACACAAACTGCTATCTGCAGGCACTCTCACATCACCACCCAGCACAGATCAACTCCGTAGCCAAGACACTCATCTCCAGAACAAAATGCTTAGCTGACGAACAACACCTAAAACCCTAAAAAAACACACTCTCACTAATGTACTAACATCCAGTGGATTCCAAAGAAATAAGATTACCAACCTAATCCAAAAAGAAACCCCCACTAAAATCCAAGACAGAGAACAAGAAAACCGCAAAGCCCTCCTCCCATACATAAAAGGCACCACAGACAGAATCAGCAAGATCCTCCACAAACACAATATCAAGACAGCATTCTGCACAAACCGAAAGATATCCACCATCCTAAGAAACCCCAAAGACAAAATTGAGTTAGAAAATCAAGGAGTATATGAAATCCCATGCACCGCCTGCCCCACCACATACATCGGACAAACCAACAGAAGAATAAGTGCACGCATTGAAGAACACAAGAACTCAGTCAGAAAAGGGGAACTAACTTCTTCCCTGGTCCAACACCTTAAAGCCACAGGACATGATATTGATTTTAAAAAGACCAGAATTATAGCCACAACTGAACACTTTAACAACAGAACAATCAGAGAAGCCATTGAGATAGAAAAACGCTCACACAGCATGAATAAACGAGATGATACCTCCCGCCTACCAGCCATTTGGAAACCCGCCCTCATTGACAAACGAGTCCCTAACACAAAGAATGACACCAGACCCACACTCACGAAAACCACACAGGATGTCACCACCACACATCCACCCAAAAAGCAAACCCACACTGATGAGGCACAACCACAAACCAGAAGCCAGACCACAGCTGCATCATTAGCCACTTTAAACCCCTCCAATCCATACATGAAGCAAACTGACACCCACCATGAAGATGTGGCATGACCACAAACGCGAAGCCAAACAACAGCAATGCAGCTCACCAGCTCAAATCCCCCTGCAACTCAGACTAACCTGAGCACAACCAAGCCCCCACCTAAACAGAACACCCCCTCCAGCCAGTCAGAGCACAGCCAACCCCCCATCCAATCAGAGCACAGCCAAACCACCAACCAATCAGAACACACCTCCACCCAATCAGAACACAGCCAAGCTCCCACCCAATCAGCTCCCACCCCCACTGGCAGTTAAAAGGAAGAAACAGCTGCGATCACACATTACTCCTAGAAGCACGAAGCCGAAAACACCAGCCTGGAGATGACGAATGAGACTTTGTCGAAACGTCGCCAAGACACTTCCAATTTTACGCGGGAGAAAACCTGAATAACCAAAGACCTACATATATATAATAAATGTATAAAGTATAAATTATTAATATAAATGTATCTATGTAGCATGGTCATGTATGCATATATAGGTATATGTATCAAAACAACTGTACTGTTTAGCAACTATTCAAATTTATGATTATGCTGAAAATTTTTATAACCAGTAGTCACATTTATGACTTTTGGAACCTCCTCACGATCATGTGATTGAGATTTGAGTGCTTAACAACTGATGGACATTTATGACTATCAGTCATGTGATCGCCATTTGTGTGCTTCCCTGCTGGCTTCCAACAAGCATAGTCAATGGCGAAGCCATGGTCACAGGATGTCTCACTTAATGACCACATCACTTAGTGATAGTTAAGAGAGGACTACCTGTAATAATATAATAATATAGTGATACCTTTAACATCATCAAACAAGTGCCTTTCTCAGGACCTTGGGAAGGATGTAATAGATGGATAAAAATGCCAAATCCAGTCTAAACACTTGGCTGACTGTGCAGCAAGCAATAATACCACTATCACCACCTTTGGGTGGGAATTCAAGATATGTACAGCAATAAAAATATAGAGTATATTACATTGAGATAGATAAAGAGGTAGAGAAGAAGTATTTCCTTCCACCATCACTTCCCTCATTATTACTTCTTGTTCTAAAGGCACATTTTTTGCTTTGAAAGTCAGTATTAGATATACAGTATAGTAAAATGTTAGGTACCTTTTAACAGGGAACCTTGTGTCATCCCACTAAAGTTCTGATTAATGACAAAGAGGAAAAACAGCATAGTTGGCTGTTTTTAACAGTGTTCCATGTGCCTTGGCATATAGTCATGACTACAGAAGCATCTTCAGACAATGCTGCCTCCCTTAGGAAAAGGAGATGAGCACCATCCCCTAAAGTTGGACATGACTGGAAAAGGGAAATATTTACCTTTTAACATGATATTTAACTGCTTTCATTCTGACTGGGAAAAATGATATTTATAGTGGATTTTATCATCAGTGGATGGTAGCACTCAACTCAAGATGGAAAAAAGAGACAACATTAAGTTCCTTAGTGGCCTCCATACTTTAAGTGGTGCAATATATTTTCAAATATATTGGACAGGTATATTTATTTGATTTTGTTTTTATTTTTGACACACTTGAACTGGGCCCTAACTAACAAAATGAAATTCAATGTAGAGAAAAATAAAGTCTTGCACTTAGGCAAGAAAAACCAAAAGTACAAATATAGATTGGTAGAAACCAGGCTTAATAGCAGTAACTCTGAGAGGGATCTTGGAGCCTTAGTGGGCAACCAATTAAATATGAGCCAACAGTGTCCAGTGGCAGCCAAAAAAGCCAATCCAATCCTAAATTGCATTAACAGGGATTCACAGGGATTCAAGACCAGGTGAGGTACTACATTGTTGTTGTTAGTTGCGAAGTCATGTCCAACCCATCGCTACCCCATGGGCAATGTTCCTCCAGGCCTTCCTGTCCTCTTACCATCCCCCGGATGGTAGCTCATGCCAACTGCTTCAGTGACTTTATCCAGCTACCTCATTCTCTGTTGTCCCCTTCTTCTTCTTCTTTTTTTTTTTATTGCAAAAGTTTTACAATTACATTTTCGCCCCATTTCCCCCCCCAACCCACCCCACAGTCCCCACCCTAACCCCCCCAGACCCCCCTAACCCTCCCCCCCTGACTTCCACAGAATATAATCCCATCAAAATCCCCTTTTTATAAAACTTGAACCCCTCAACCCCCCTTATAAATTTTTATCTTCACAAAATTCCTACTTTGTCCCCTTCTTCTTTTGCCCTCAATCTTTCCCAGCATTTGGCTCTTTTCCAGTGAGTCCTTCCTTCTCATTAGGTGACCAAAGTATTTGAGGTGAGGTACTAATACCACTGTATAAAGCCTTAGTAAGACCACACCTAGAATACTGCATCCAGTTCTGGTTACCACAGTATAAAAAGATGCCGAGACTCTAGAAAGAATGCAGAGAAGAGCAACAAAGATATTAGGGGACTGGAGGCTAAAACGTGAAGAACGGTTGTAGGAGCTGGGCATGGCTCATCTAGTGAAGAGAAGGACCAGGGGAGACATGATAGCAGTATTCCAATATTTATGGGGCTATCACAGAGAGGAGGGGGTCAAGCTATTTTCCAAAGCACCTGAAGTCCAGACATGGAATAATGGATGGAAACTGAACAAGGAGAGATTCAACCTGGAAATAAGAAGAAATTTTCTGACAGTGAGAGCAATCAACCAATGGAACAACTTGCCTTTCGAAGTTATAGGAGCTTCATCACTTGGAAGCTTTCAAGAAGAGGTTGAACTGCCATCTGTCAGAAATGGTGTAGGGCAGGGGTGTCAAACTCACAGCCTGTGGGCCAGATACCTCACGCACTGGCCACGTGTGAAGGGGGAAAAAGTCACAATACTTCACGTGATGATTCTGTGACAATGCAAGTTTGACACCCCTGGCGTAGGGTCTCCTGATTGGGTGGGGGGTTGGACTAGATGACCTACAAAGTCTCTTCCAACTCTGTTATTCTATTTTATTCTAAATTTATTACAGTTCATAATCCTTTCAAGAAGCTCTTTAATTTCTTGAGAAAAAGATGCTGAGTTCAAACCAAGAAGTCCTTCATCCTAAAAATTAGTATGGGGTATTTAAAAAAGAGGCAATACATTCTAGAAATGTTTGTGGATACTTAGTTTTTATACTACTTATATTTTACTTATTTTTGCCTTGTAAGATTAATAATTTGTTTGTCTTCTAATTTTCCACTTTACAGCAATGTGATCCAGAGAAGTTAATCACTGAGAGCAAGTTTCTGCAACTTGAGTCCCTGCAGGAATTAATGAAGGTGAGGTTTGAGTTAGCCCTTCAGGCAAACTAGAAATAGGCAAGCTTAAACCAGTTGCAGAGTTTTGAGAAAATTTACTGTGAGTAATGAGATTTCATTGCTAATTTTAGATGGATTTGTATTGCTTACATATTGCAGCCAACACCCACCTTTATAATCTTTACATGTCTCAATCACAATGCTGTTACAGTCAGTTAGTATATATTGTCCTGCACCTGGCCCATTTTTCCCTCCCCCCCCCCCCCCCCCCCCGTGGAGACATTGCCTAAACATTGTCTCTTCTTGAGTTGTTTTTCTCCAGCATAGCATGTCCCTAGAAAGTGCTAACCACATTCCTAAAAATTGCTAACCATAAATTAATAAGCTCAGCTTTCGGAATGTAATTAATTGATTAGAATACTCCAGCCCCATGCTATTCTCTAAATGAGCCTAATATATTTTATACTAAAGACTTTTGATTGCCTCCTAAACAGATCTGCTGAGTGTACTAAGATATGCTGGCCAGAGCACATTCCTATTTATGTGTGTTTCCCATTGTGTGTGTGCAATCTTTTTATCCTTTCTCTCCAATGAATGTAAATACAATTTTCTTCTTCTCATTATCCCAGCTCTGAGATAAGCATAAAGGGGGAGTGAAGAAAAAGTGCTATAAGAGTTGCCTTTTTTCCAGCTTCCTCCTGAGTCAAATTCTGGAAATCTTGCCTGCCATTTACGCTTACCCAGCCATTTGGGGTTATATCCTACCAACATTGTAAAGCAAAGGAAAACTGAAGTGAAAATTGTAAACACAGTCACAGTTAGTGATTTTTCACTTAGTGACTACTTTGCTTAATAACCAAGTTGCTGATCCCAATTGCAGTCATTAATGTACCTGTATGCTTTTCCCATTCTAAAATACATATTGAAGAAATATAAGTTATTCATATGGCTATGCATTGGCCATGTAGGTCAACAATTCTTACATCCATGAAATTGTTTATAGCAGCCCTTAACATACTGCAGTTTGAAGTCTTAGTGGCACACTAAGATGGACATTATCATAGTAGTCCAAGTCTATGCCCCAACTACTGGTGCTGAAGAGGATGAAATTGACTGGTTCTATGAAGCCCTACAGCACCTTATAGAATTAACACCAAAAAATGATGTCCTTATCATCAGGGGGGATTGGAATGCTAAAGTAGGAAGCCAAAAGATAACCGGAATAACAGGCAAGTTTGGCCTTGGAGTACAAAATGAAGCAGGGCACAGGTTGATAGAATTTTGTCAAGAGAATACGATGGTCAGAGCAAACACTCTTTTCCAACAACCCAAGAGATGACTCTACACATGGACATCATCAGATGGTCAACACAGAAATCAGATTGACTATGTGCTCTGTAGCCAAAGATGGAGAAGCTCTATACAGTAAGTAAAAACAAGACCAGGAGCTGACTGCAGCTCAGATTATGAGTTTCTTGTTGCAAAATTTAGGCTTAAATTGAAGAAAGTAGGGAAAAGCACTAGGCCACTCAGGTATGAACTAACTAATACCCCTGATGAATATACAGTAGAGGTGACAAATAGATTTAAGAAATTAAATCTGATGGACAGAGTGCCTGAAGAACTATGGACAGAGGATCGCAACATTATACAAGAGGTAGCAACTAAAACCATCCCAAAGAAAAAGAAACCAAGAAAGCAAAATGGCTGTCTGAGGAAGTTTTGCAAATAGCTGAGGAAAGAAGAGAAGCAAAAGGCAAGGGAGAAAGACACCCAATTGAATGCAGAATTCCAGAGAACAGCTAGAAGAGATAAGAATGCCTTCTTAAATGAACAGTGCAAAGAAATAGAAGAAAACAATAGAATAGGGAGGACCAGAGATCTCTTCAAGAAAATTAGAGATATGAAGGGAACGTTTCATGCAAAGATGGGCATGATAAACTACCAAAATGGCAGGGACCTAACAGAGGCAGAAGAGGTGGCAAAATTACACAGAAGAACAAGAACGAGCTTAACACCCCTGATAACCACAATGGGATGGTCACTGACCTCGAGCCAGACATCCTAGAATGTGAAGTCAAATTAGGAAATCTGAGCAACAACAAAGCTAGTGGAGGTGACAGTATTCCAGCTGAGCTATTCAAAATCTTTAAAGACGATGCAGTAAAAGTGCTATCCTCAATTTGCCAGCAAATTTGGAAAACTCAACACTAGCCACAGGATTGGAAAAGGTCAGTTTACATTCCAATTCCAAAGAAAGGCAATGCCAAAGAATGTTGAAACTATTGCACCATTGCACTCATTTCACATGCTAGTAAAGTTATGCTTAAAATCCTATGAGCTAGGCTCCAGCAGTATGTGGATCGAGAACTACCAGAAGTACAGGCAAGATTTCGAAGAGGCAGAGGAACTAGAGATCAAATTACCAACACACGCTGGATTTTGGAGAAAGCTAGGGAGCAGAAAAACATCTACTTCTGCTTCATTGACTATGCTAAAGCCTTTGATTGTGTGGATGACAACAAATTATGGCAAGTTCTTAAAGAGATGTGAGTACCAGACCATCTTATTTGTCTCTTGAGAAACCTATATGCGGGTCAAGAAGCAACAGTGAGAACTGGACATGGAACCACTGATTGGTTCAAAATTGGGAAAGGAGTTCGGCAAGGCTGTATACTGTCACCCTGCCTATTTAACTTATATGCAGAGCACATCATGAGAAAGGCGGGGCTAGATGAATCAAAAGTTGGAATTAAGATTGCCGGGAGAAATATCAACAACCTCAGATATGCAAATGATACCACTCTAATGGCAGAAAGTGAAGAGGAACTAAAGAGCCCTCCTGATGTGGGTGAAGAAGGAGAGTGCAAAAGTTGGCTTGAAAATCAACAATAAGAAAACAAAGATCATGGCACCTGGAAGAAATGGAGATAGTGATAGATTTTATTTTCCTGGGCTCCAAGATTACCGCAGATGGGGACAGCAGCCAAGAAATGAAAAGACGCTTGCTTCTGGGAAGAAAAGCTATGGCAAATCTAGATGTCAGCGTTCCAGAAAACTCCAACTCCAATTAAAAACTCTGAAGCAAGCATTTTCTCAAAATTCCATTTATTAGAGTAGGTATACTGGCACATCTGGGAAAACCCGAATCTGAGAGTTCTGGGTTCTCCATCAGTAAATCAAAACCCCCAAAACTCATCAGTCCATCACATGCTCCAATCACCATCCGTCCCATCTCGAGACATCACTCCAACCACCCCTCCTCCAGATGCAGGATTGTCCTGACCTTGACCGAAAGGAAGAATGCTATTTTGTCTAAATACATTCCCTCTACTAAATCCCCCCTCCTACTTTCCCGCACATGAGAAAGTGGCAGCATGGAAGCTTCTGGGGCTAATATGGCTTCCAAAGCTGACACTAGATAGCTTACTAAAAAGCAGAGACATCACCCTGCCAACAAAAGCGTGTATAGTCAAGGCTATGGTTTTCCCAGTTGCAATGTACGGCTGTGAAAGTTGGACCATAAGGAAGGCTGAGTGCCAAAGAATTGAGGCCTTTGAACTATGGTGCTGGTGAAGACTCCTGTGAGTCCTTTGGACTGCAAGGCGATCAAACCGGTCAGTCCTAGAGAAGATCAACCTGACTGCTCTTTAGAAGGCCAGATCCTGAAGATGAAACTCAAATACTTTGGCCACCTAATGAGAAGGAAGGACTCACTGGAGAAGAGGGAAAGATTGCTTGGAAAGATTGAGGACAAAAGAAGAAGGGGACGACAGAGAATGAGGTGGCTGGATGGAGTCACTGAAGCAGTCAGTGTGAGCTTAAATGAACTCCAGAGGATGTTAGAGGACAGGAAGGCCTGGAGAAATGTTGTCCATGGGGTCGCGATGGGTCGGACATGACTTCGCAACTAACAACAACAAGATGGACATATATCACAAGAATTCTCTATCTCTGTCTTACTTTTTAAAATCTAATTGTGCAGAAGGCTTATATTTTTTAATAAAACCTGTATTCACTAATTCTAGTCTGAAACAAACTCTAATGTTCATGGAAATCATTCCCTGCAAAATATTCATTTTTATGTCTATTTCATAATATATTATACTGTGATAATACAATTTTTTGAAATTTAGATAAAATTTGTTGGGGCAGCTAAATTCACTTTATGAAAATTATGGTTATTTTAAAAAAGAATTCATTTGTGCTGTTGCAGTCCTGTTTATGTTCAAGAGATTATTGTAAAAGTTAGGAAAAGGAACACACATACCACTGATGCATGGACAGAGCTATTTTAAAAGGAAGAAAGAAAAAGGGTTCAATACAACTTCATTTCTCTTTTTACAATGATAATTTGAACATACAATATAAAAATAAGGAAAATGGAAGAGGAGATATACTTTCAGACTTTCAGACTTGCAGACTTTGTCTTGTGAGGCAAACCAGACAGGAAGCATCACTAGAAGAACTAATTCTACTTTATTGTAAAATTATATTAATTGCAAATCTGAAAGTGTGTGTGTTGGTAGATCATGCAAAAGCTCCACTTAGGTACAGCTGCCATTTGTTTATCAAGCAATAGCATGAGCCCAAGAAGACTCCCTAATTACACATCAGTTCCATCTGGGAGAATCAGTGGTGGGTTGCTCCCAATTTTGTCCGGTTCTATAGAGCCGGTAGTAAAAGCGGCAGGAGGCTTCGCCCACCCGCCATGACGTCATCATGGGTGATCTGCGCAGAAGCTACTGCACATGCGCAGAAGTGCATGTGAAGCAAGTAAGCGTCCGTGGTCCTGTTGCGAACTGGTAGTAAAGGTAAGTAGAACCCACCCCTGGAGAGAATGCAACCCCATCCAGAGTCAAATGTGACATGCCACTAAACTTAGAAGCCCAAAACCCAAAACTATTTGGGTTTTCAAGACTCTCTTCATGACTCTCTATGGCTGAAAACCAACCCTCCCTGTCAACAGCCTCCCCTAAAAAGGGAAGATTGGAGACTGGATCATAGTGGTCTAAAACAGT